TTAGGAAAGAAAAGAAACCCCCCTCCAAGCTGTAACATTACCCCCCCCTCCAGATTTGTCGGCTACAGTTGCTGCTGCTCTCGTCATTCAGTCAGGTGTCTCGGTTCATTGATAGGACAGGGAGCCTGTCCTGGTCTGACCTCCGACTCGGTGCGGAAATGGTATCGAGGATGGAGTAATCCGCAGGAAGCACATAACCAGTGCCAACACTCACTTTGTAAGTGACCGTCAACTTCGCATCGGGTGCAGAATCGAAGGCGTCGTGGCATAGCACCAGAGGAAGGGTGTATGACCGTGAATTCATGATGGTCAAGTCGATCCTCGAGATCAGCAGCTTGAAGACGAGCCCGGCAAAGAGCCATCTCCTGCTCTGCACGTACTAGTTCTGCATTTATAGATCTCCTTGCAGCGAGTAGGAGGTCGATTTTGGCATCAAGAGCTCAAAAGTGGTCGATTTCGTCAGTAACTCCTGGGTCCCTGATGTCTTGCAAGGATGCCCAAAGGCTCTCCAACAGACTGTCCTCCCGCGTCAGCAAGTATTCCCAGGTATCCTCTTCCCAGTCCATATTCGTCAAGTCCCCCACAGGTTCAGCGATGCGTAATGCGTCCGCAGTAGTTACTGAGATTCGTCGTAATCCGAATGCTGGGTTGAGGGGAATAGGGACGCCCATGGGAGGTCGACTGAGGGATTGCGCATAAGCTCCGGGGAAGTAAGGCATTATGCGTTCCAAGGGATTGATATCTTGGACTGGGGTGGAGGTGTCAAAGGGAATAGATCGCCAGAGCTGAGAGTCATCATTAGAGGGTCATTGAACTATGTCATCACTGTAGACCAGAAACTCCTGCGGATTGTCGCTGTGTCCTTTGGATGCGGTGACATATTCACTGACTTCCGCCAAAAGGTGTAGGTTGGGAGAGGGAGGATAGTTGAGACTTCCAGAGGTCGAGATGTCAGAGGCAAGGGGTGGCATGCCGGGGGAATCGGTGGATGCAGCAATGGGGCTGTCAGGGTTTGGAGAGGACGAGTTGCCTACTAGTAATTGGGAGGGGGTGATCTGTAGGGGTGCGATGTGGTAGGATCCAGGAGTCGTGTCCGAGGTGTTGTGGGAAATTTCCAGAGGTCCAGGGAATTGATGTAGGACTACGTTATCAACGTGGGAGGAATTCGAGGAACCGGGTATAAGGAAAGGACGATGAGTCACATTTGGGATGGGCGTGAACGGATAGCAAAAGCCTCCTTCGTTAAGGAACTCCATTGAAGAGTCTCCAGAATCAGAATGATAAGGTAGACTAGAGGTAGGTCGAATAGGAGTTGGTGCTTCTATTATCCCAGCGTTGAAGCGCCCTTCTAGAACTTGGAGGTGGGATGGATAAGGAGTTGACGCCCTTTGGATTTCAGTCGTTGGAGTATTAGAGTCCCCAGCAGGAGCCAAAGGACGACGCGGAGTAGTGGGATCCGCATTGTTGGTTCTGGCGTGGTTGTTCCGTTCAGCAGGCATGAAGGAGAGCCAAAAGGATATTTTCCAAGAAAAAAGCAATCCCAGAATACAAAGAGTCGCAACTACTACAGACAAAGAAAGGCCCCAGACGCTAATCTTGATGCTCCCTGATGTATTCAAAGTATACCTGGGAGGGATTGTTGTTGTCCCGATTAGCGACGATGACCAGCAGGGGGGTGTTGATATGGGGGAGGGGGCGCTGAGCAGTGGTGGCGATGTTGTACGCCCAATGGTGTTCCTTCTCTAGATGTCGGATGGTGATTCGAAGGGTGAGGGGGACGATGAGGGCGAGGGCGAGGATGGCGAGGAGGCTGATGAGGAATGAGCCCAGTAGGGCGAGGAGGAGGAGGTGGGGTTGCTCGTCGACGACGGCGAGGGTGGCGGTGGCAAGGGGAGTGATGTGGTTCACCACTGAGAAGGTCAGTAAAGGGGGTAGGGGTTAACTGTACTGGGGACGTTACTTGTACTCCGTTATTTGACCAATTGAGGGCCTGCTTGTCAATGGGGGTGGTGGAGGGAGGAGTGGGGGTGCGGTTGAGTTGGAACTTGATGGTGTATGTCTCCTTGAGGAAGAAGACGGCGAATGCAATGAGGAGGATGAGGACGATGATGAGGAACCAACTGCAAAGGAGGAGCGCGACGAGAAGAGTGGTGGGTGCCATTGAGGGGACTGATAGGAGTTGGTTCTTATAAGGAGTCATCCCTTGTTTGGCTGCAGGAAGTCTGCCAAAGCGTCTTTTGCATGTGAAAGCTTGGTTTTTGGTAACCAGGAATCATCTGATGCCGGGTATCCTTTCCATCTTACCCGGTA